CAGATATTCCTTTTACTACAAAACCCTAAACATGTGTCGCAATAACATAACTCTTTTATATCTCGTAGACGCCCGTCTTTGCTGCGGAGGCAGCAGCACATGCTTGCTGTTGCTCCTGCTCCTGCTGCTGATGCTGTTGCGGTTGCTGTTGCTGTTGCTGTTCCTGCTGCTTTCTCCTTCTTGAAGCTCTTGCTGCTGCCTCTAGACGCTGCAGTAGAGGCTTGAGAGGAGATTGTAGCTTCAGCTGCAGCGTTGTTGCTCCTGTTGCTGTTGTTGCTGTTGCTGTTGTTGCTGTTGCTGCTGTTGCTGCTGTTTGTTGGGCTTTCAGGTGTCTGTGCAGGTTTGTTTTTATTTGTGTTTTCTTCTGTTTTTGTTTCTGATTGCTGTTCTCTTGCACCTTCTCCATTTATAATTATGTCTGTCTTCTTTGCTTCACTTGCTTTCTTGCCTTCTGTTGCTGCTTTCTTCTCATCTCTTGGGTTTTCTTCTGCTGCGCTGCTGCGGCCGCGCTTTGTCTGTGCAGCATCTTCTCTAATTGCTGCTTTGCTGCTGATGTAGACAGACAAACAAACAGCAACATAAAACCCTAAAGCCCCCTTTAATATCTTTTTTTGCTTTTTTATTTGAAGCTGCTGTGTGCAATTTGTTACAGAGACAAACAACAAACAAAAACAAAAATATTATTGAATTTTTCTTCATCTCTGTCTGTACTTACGTAAAGCTATGTATGCTATATTTACTTTGTATCTAATAGATACTATACGCATTATATGTAATATATTTTATTATATATACTATACGATGGACAGTATATATACATATATATATATATTTCTGCATCTGTTTTTATGCTGTATGTATTTGTTTATGTTTCTGGTGCTATTCTGTCTGCCTTTGTTGATGTTTGCGTTTATTCCAAAACCCTTAAAAATATTTTTCTTATTCATACACAGACCAATTCTGCTGCCGAAGCACTGGTAGCGCTGGGGTGTATATGCAGCTCACAGGATTGCCTTTCCAGCTGTTGCAGTTGCGAGCGATCTTCTACTGTAGAAGGAAGCACAGCTGTCTGCTTGCTGCTGCTGCTGCTGCATGCGAGGAGAAGAGCAGCGGGGCTTTCCTGCTTGGCAGGCGGGGCAGCTGCACCTACAGTCGAGCCCAGGCCTTAGGGCTTCTCCTTCACCGCATGCAGCACAGTGGGGCCTCAGCAGCACAGGAAACTCCTGCTGCAGCGAGCGTCGCATGCAAGAACGCCCCCTTCTGCTGCTGCTCCCTCCCGGAGACTTGCTGCTGACGAGCTCGCTGCAGCAGCAGCAAAACAAACAGGCGTAGCAAGCTGTTGCTCCTTCAATGCCACGGAGCCCTAATAAATATTAAATCTACTCAGGGTGATAATATTAAGTCTAGACTTGGGGTCTAGGCTCTAGGGTTTAGGGTTTTTACTTTTTCATGCATGCAATGGTTGTTAGTGGCGGCGTCTTCTTGGCGTCTTTGACGGCAGACGCGAGGAGCTTTTCGAGGTCTGAGTTGCTGTTGTTCTTCATTTTGAAGATTTTCCTGCATGCATGCATGCGATAAATGCGAGAAAAAGATGGAGAAGTCTGTGCTAAGGAGTTGCAGATATCGCCTTTGTTCTCCTTGAAGTAAACGCTAACATATTAAAGAGGAAGCTGCTGCATTTGCTCACGGATAAAATCTTTCTACACGCAGAGGGATCTTTGCTAAGATTTTTTGCACTTATATTAAGGATGAGGAGCTACGAATGATAAAAAAGGGCTACTTGCGCTGCGCACCTTAGACTGGCTTGTCTTAATGGTGGCTCTAACAGGGGCTGAAATTAAACAGTTATAAAAAATATAGTATTAATACTCTAGTTGGGACTGAAGAGTACCGGCGTGGTAAGGGCTTTATTGGGTCGATGCAACAAAATATCGATGCGGCGGTGCGCTGTTCAGCAGACCTGAATAATAGTACCTATGATCTTGTGCTGTATTCTTGCAGAGAGTTTTTGAATAATTTTTATTTGTTTTCCCTTAAATTGGGCCTATACTCAGAGACTCTGCTGCAAACGCGAGCACCGGATGCTCTCAGTCCCCGGCTGAAGCTGCAATCTTCCGTGCAGCCATGTATTCAGGTTTCCACAAGTTTGTGGGGACGGCAGCCCAAAAAAGGCTGTTCAAAGTTTTATTTTAGTAATGAATAAGGCTTGTTTCCTTTGTAGAAGTATTTCTTGAAAGACAAGGAGAAATTTGACGACGGGTTTCCGCCGGTTTCAGTTTGTGGAAAACGGAGGTCACGCCGCCCGCGTTGCCCAGATTAGCTCAGGTGTACAGGCAGCTCTTTTCCCTCTAACATTTTCAAAAGTCAAGCAGAAAAAATAAACGTGTTTGTATATTATTATTAATATTATTATGAATCGTGTAAATCTCGAGGAGGTTGACCGTCACGCTAATTGCAGTGCAGAAACCAGCCATCAATTTTTAACAGGAATTCCGAATCGGCGGTTGAAGTTACACCTGAAATAACGATGAAAACACTTTCAATATGCACAAATTAAATAGCTAATCTTTGAGGTATTATTTCGTTGTCCCACCATCGCTTGTTGCCAAGGAAAACACTATCGCTGATCTCAGTTTGCTTGTTCACTGCGATTCCCCCGAGTATTTACACCAGACTTATTCTCGGCATTTTGCAGTTACTGCCGATCTCAGTTATTTTCGAGTTTCCCGAGTCTTCTTCTGCACTCGACCAATCGGGTTTCAGCCACCTTCAAGCAAACTGCAGCTCCCGAAATACACAAACAGAAACCAATACGTACTTGAGGAGGTAGCTCTGCCTTCTTATGAACTAAAGCGTATTCCCTGTTCCACTAATTGAACAGTATTACCCTTACTTCCTAAACTGTATACTCGATGCACTTCGCCCGAAATCTACACTGCAGCAGCCAAACAATCTGAGGAGCCTCTTGCTTGCTTTATGAGGCTTCTCTTCTGGGAGAACTTTCCTTAGGCGCTTCTTCACTTGTATCTAACGTTTCATCAAAGCACAAACGCAAAACACTAACATGAAATAAAGAGTAGAGTCAGAACTAAAGCTGCCTGCGGTGGCCTGTCTGGCTGGCGTATCGAATTGATTTTCTTTCGTTCTCCTTCTCAGTAGCAGCAGTTTGCTATACACCAAATCCTTAAGGAGAAACAATTTTCTAAACCCTACAGTGTATGCACACCTCGACCCTTCAAACCTACCAAACGAGGCGCGGGTAGGGGCTTTTATAGTTTAGGGCTTGGGGTTTAGGGTTTGTTATGACAAGGGGAGTTGCAACTTGAGAACAGCCTGTTCAGGTGTATGCGCAGAATATGTCATGTGTGAAATAGGAGCATCGCAATATTGGCAATAACACCAGTATAAACTGAATAAAGCAATAAAGCACTGCATGCAGCAAAGAGCGCCTTTCCTTCCTTTTTTTCGGTCCAAAGCAAAGCCCTATTTGGGGCGCAACGAGACTCCTGAATCTACGCCCTAAACCGGAAACCCTTATTTTTAGACTCTAAACCCTAAACCCTAAGCCTTAGACACATTGCAATACACCCTACGCCGTAATCCCCAGTCCCTAAAGGGTTTGGGGCTTTTATTTTCCGAAGACCATCGCGAGCTGCATTCGAGCCAAAATACGTTTAGTAAATAAATGCTTTAATCTCTTCCTTGTTCATTTAGGTGTCTGCGCTCAGCTGCACAAGGCCCAGCCTGGGGCTAATTAGGATTCTGAGCAGTGTCTTAGCCTGTGTCTGCCAGCAGCTGCAACCCTATATCATACTAACTCTAGAGAAATAATTTCTTCTGTTACAAACTTTACTGGCAGTGCGACCGCCCAATAAAGCTGTAGAGGGAGCGAGTAAAGAACTTGTATAAAGAATAAGAAAGAGACGCAGAGCTAATTTATTCATTCACCTTTGCTTCAGTTGGGGTGTACGTACACCACCTACACAAGGCTAAGCGGCTGAACTATCGTTAAAATGCACTTCCTAAGGAAAGCCCTATATAAATACACTATAAAAGGAAGAAAAGCCTTACGAAGGATTATATTGTGAGTATTTTATTGTGAATTTTTTGGGGCCACACTTTTGCAATATATGGAATTATTTCAAAATAATGTTCAGCAAACTTTTTCTCTCTAGATTTGCACTTCTTATCGGCGACGCGGAGGGAAGATGTGGAGGTCTGCGCGGGCAAAGAAAATGCCGAAGGAAGCAAATAAACCAATTATAAATGATAAAAACAATCATAAAACCATTAAATTGTTATTATTTCGATTGATTTATTGAATTTAGGCTTCAAATGGCATTTTTTACTGAGCTGCCTGTACACCTGAATTAGACTTGGCTTCCATTGCTGCACAGAAACCAATCGCAGAAACACCTCCGATGCAGGTAACGAGTTGCAATATTTAAAAATATAATTATAATATTTACCTTTTAAATCCTTAACACCTTTTTTGTTTAAAATTCTATATCTCTATCCGCTTTCGCCGCCCTTTTTTCACCGTATCCATGAATCTGTCCTCGAAGCAGTTCTTGCAGTTTCTGGGGGTTTCTCCTTCTTCTTGGCTGTTTTCCGGATTGATCATTATAATAACTAGATATATTTCGATGAAGTTTAATAATAATTGAGGCTTTCATCAAAAAAACCCCAAAGATGAGGCGGTTTCTCTCACTCAAGCCACGTCCACCTTCGGCGCATGTCTTCCATATAAAGCACAGCAACAGACCTTCTTTTGCAGTGCCTAGACACCCGGAAAGCCGGGGTGTATGTGCACATCCAAACACATGCATATCTCTTCCCAGGGTTTTTCCTTCTCTTCTTGCTTGCAACATACCCTATAATTCTTCACCCCAGGTACAGCTGGGGTGTATGGGCAGGCTGCGGTGTATGTGCAACCGTGCGAGTTCTCCATCTCCTTCTTCGTTTTCAGCCGATCATCCGCAGCGCGTATACTCTAAGAGTCATGAATATCTTTCTTTCTTAACTCCAGACGGTCCAGAGGCAGCGGTAGGTATTTCTGCCTTTGCAGCAGAAGAACTTGGGGAGGTGGTGTTTATTGAAACAGTTGCATCTTCTTCTTCTTCTTCTTCTTCTTCTACTTCTACTTCTAATTCTCCTTCTACTTCTTCTACTTCTTCTTCTTCTCCTGCTTGTGCTTCTACTTCTTCTTCTTCATCTCCTTCTTCTACACCTTCTTCTGCGTCTTCTTCTGCTTCTTCTTCTTCTCCTTCTGCTTGTGCTTCTGCTTCTTCTGAGAGAGAGAGGAAAAGACAAGAGCCAATATATGTCAATAAAGGAGATCCTGTTTGTTCTCTAGAGGCGGTGAAGGCAGTTGCTGAGGTGTATGCACCGGCTGCAGGCCGTATTATTAAATTTAATGAAAAGTTAAAAAAAAATCCTGCTCTTATTAATGAAGATCCAGAGGGAGAAGGTTGGATATTCATCATGTCTGTAGATACACCCGAACCTGCACATACACCCCAAACTGAGCATACACCCGAACCTGCGCATACACCCCAACCTGAACATACACCCGAACCTCCTCGTACACCTCAACCTCCACATACACCCCAATCTTTTGTTTCGGCTCAAATGGCTGCCCGATCTTCTTTGCTTTCTCCAGAGGCCTATGACGCCTATGTTAGTAGACAAGCAGAAGGCGCAGAAGAAGAATAATAACGAACTCCAAACCCTTAACTCTCTCTTTATATATATATATATATATATATATATATATATATATATATAATATATTCTGTATACAGATACAAATATTATTGAATGCTGCATTATATTGCAAAGGAGTTTAAAAGGATTTAATTGTTTTGTTGCTGTTAAATTTTTTTAAAGGACTTCTTGCCTGTTCAAGAGACCCCCGTCAACCAACAGCAGCAGTGGCAGTAGCAGCAACAGCAGCAGCACAACGAAGCAGCAGCAACAGCAGCAACAGAAGCAGCGAAGAGAAGCAGCAGCAACGGCAGCAACAGAAGCAGCGAAGAGAAGCAGCAGCAACAGCAGCAACAGCAGCGCACAGCAACAGCAAAAGCAGCAGCACAGCAGCGGCAGCAGCAGCATCAGCAGTAGCCGCCGGCGTTCAAGTGCGCATTCAGTTGTACAGACAGAGCAGCAAATAAATAATTATGATTTCCTAATTATGCTGTATTTAGAAGAACAAGAAGTAATGAAGAAAAGAGACAGAAGACAATTAAAAGACAGACAAAAACCCTAAAACATGCAGACATCCATCAAAATAAAAACTGTTGTATGATTATTTGCATTTGTTTGTTTCTGAAAATAAAAGAAAATATGTATACTATGCTTTATTTTGTGTGTATATTATTGTTTGTTCTTGTATGTCTTGAGGTATCTGCCTATACACCCCAAACGCAGACACAGCAGTGAAACACTAGAACATGCATACAAATATTAAAAATATATATTTATATTCTATTTATTTTTTATTTTATTTTTTATTTTTTATTGTATTTTTAATAACCGCTTAACTCTCTGAGTTCTAAATATACAAAACACACAAGAATGCAAACAGCAGTTACTCGCCTCCCTTACATATATATATATATATAGGTATATATACATATATCTGTACATATATATATATACAACATTAAATGAGTATAGTATTTAGCATAACGTGCATGCAAAGATGACGATATTTTCATGTTGAGTTTGTTCAGATGTACAGGCACGGGCAATAAACAAATACCGGCATTTCTATGCTTGTTACACCAATAAGCATACATAAAAATATATATATATATATATCTACATATATATATATATACATATATATAAACATATAGGGAAAGAAAAAATTTTTAAATTTGCGGTGTACATACACCGGATTTGCATGAAAGTACAGAGGGCGGAGCTGCATAAAAAAAACATAAAGCCCAAGGTTATTTGTGTAATTACTATAATATTTATTATTATATTTAATAAATATAAATTATAAATATTTAATTTGAAAGTTTAAACTCTTAAATAGACAGAAGTCAGAGAGAAGTAGTATAGAGCGCCGGCGCTCATCATGCAGAGTATTTGGGGTGTATGTGGAGGTATTTCATCGCTAAGAACGGTTTAAATACTCCTAAGAAAGAAATATAGAACAATATAAACAAATTAAATATATAATTCCCTTTAATTTCATTGTTTTTAGCAAAAAAAAACAAGATGCAGAACATAGACACTGCAGCAGCAGCATCGATGGGGGGCCCCCAGCCCCAGCTGCAGCAGTTATATTTACTTGCATATGAAGCAATAAAAAAATTATATTTCTTTCTTTTTACTTCTTCTTTTGTTTTATTTTAAATAGAGATGCCCGATGAGGCGCTGTAGGGAGTTTATTTAATAACTTATGAAGGCAATAGACAACTAAATATCTTTCTTTTTACTTCTTTCTTTTCATTTCTTTGTTTTTACTTCTTCTTTTGTTTTATTCTAAATGAGCGATGAAACCCTTCTTCCTGTCTCTGCTGCAGCAGCAACAGCAGCAGCAACAGCAGCAGCAGCAGCGGGGCCCCCAGGGATTTTGCTGCGTCTTCATCAGCGTCTTCGCTCATCTGCTGATAGTTTAAATATATTTCGTACATGTGTATCCCTGTGGGTAGAGGAGAAGGTTGCTGCAGCAACAGCAACAGCAGCAGCAGCAGCAGCAACAGCAGGGGCAGCAGAAGGCTCAGGATCTTGTGCTGCAGCTGCTGCGGATAGCAGGGCCGCTGCAGAGATACAAGCTGTTGTGCAGGAGTGTATAGAGACAATATTTGCTGCAGTAGAGTGCTGGAGGCAGCAGCAGCAGCAAAAGCAGCAGCAGCAGCAGCAGCAACAGCAGCTAATTGTGCATCCTCGTCTTCTTAACGGATGTTTCTTGGTGCTGCAGCTTCTTCTGGCCCCAGCAGATGGATCTCCAGCTCTTAGCGGTTGCACAGCAGCAGCAGCAGCAGCTGCTGCTGCTTCTGCTGCTGTAGAGACGCTGAGACTGCTGCCTGCAGCACGAGCAGCAGCCTTGAAAAAGAAGCAGCAGCAGAAGCAGCAGCGACGAGATGCCTCTAGACCCCGAGTGAAGCACATAGGTAGATGCAGCAGACGCGGAATGGAGGAGCAGGATGTTGCTGCAGCAGAGCAGCAGCAGCAGCTGCAGCAGCAGCAGCAGCAGCAGTGTGATTCTTTTGCTGCTTACGGAGATGAAGAGGAGACAGAAGCTCTAGAAGGTGCAGCAACGACTCTACTCGTGCTGCTGCATTTTACAGAGGAAGCAGAACAAGCAAACAGCAGCAACAGCAGCAACAGCAGCAGCAGCAGCAAACCACTTGAGAGACTGACAGCGCAGCTGGAGCTGCGGCTCTCCGAGGCTGCTGCTGCTGCTGCTGCGCAGCATGAAGCAAATAAAGCAGGAGCAGCAGGCGCAGCAGCACCAGAACCAGCAGCAGCAGCAGCAGCAGCAGGAGCCCCTGCAGCATCATCAGCAACTGCAGCAACAGGCTCAGCATCAGCAGCAGGCTCAGCAGCAGCAGCAACACCAGGAACAGGGATAGCAGCAGCAGCAGCAGCAGCAGCAAATCTCGGGGGTCTGTCTTTCGCTGCATTACTCAAAGTCGCCTCCACCTTCTGCAAAGACGCATTTGGCTCTGCAGCAGCAAAAGTTAGCAGCAAAACTAAAATAAATAAATTAATAAATAAATTTATTAATTAATTAATGCTTAAGCTCAATTAAATTAAATTAAATTAATTAAATAATTGCAGTGGTATTAATCAAACAATAAACACAAAAAGCACCGAGCTGTGTGCATGCAAAACTTGAGGTGTACATACACCCCAGTTACAATAAAATAAATAAATAAATAAATAAATAAATTAATAAATAAACAAATATAGATATATAAATATATAAATATATATATATATACATATATATA